GATACCCGTTATGAATAAGAAAACAACCGAAGTTTCCAAGAAAAGTACTTGTGGCGCCGAAGGTTGGGCTCCGTGTGGAGCTAAGGCTAAGAAACCTGCTACAACTTCTAAGGTAAGCGAAATAATGTTAATAGCAAGTTCTAATTTTTTTGTTTTTTATAGTGTGCAACGGAATCGTGCCTCAGTAGCAGCCACTACCGCTGTGGGTACTACAGTTTCAGTACGGGTTCAAGAACTAGTCACAGTAGTTGCTCTGACGGTTCCTCCAGTTCACGGATTCGTACACTTCGAGTATAGCAGCGATGATTGCAAGGGTTGCAGAGGAGGCGGCTGCAGGCGCTAATGGGCAGGACCCTCAAGCGGAATTTAGTTTATGGTTATTTTAATATGTGACATTATTTTGTTTTTTTTTTTGTAATTAAGTTTGTGAAAATATGCGTGCTTGTGTGTACGCTGAGCAAGCATTTTTCTAAGACTTAAATGATGATTTTTGCTGTATTACACTACCTATTTTGATAAATAAAGCTGTGACTATGAAACACATATATTAGTGTTACTAGCGGCCCGCCCCGGCTTCGCACGGGTATTTAACAAAAATTTCAAAAATTATAAATTTTAACACACACATATATATCCTTCTTTTTGCGTCGGGGGTTACTAAAAAAGGATACATTATGATAATAATATTAATATTTTATTATTTTATTTTTATTTCTAATGTTTGGAGAATAAGGGACAATCTATCTATTATCTATATTGAACCTACTTCCTCTGATATTTAGCGTAGCGCTCTACCCTCCATTTTCGGCGTCACGACGACGATAAACTGGATATCCGTCCTATCCGGTTTGGGTATCGTTGACGAAACGTCGAGGGTACTTTTTTGTACAGATACCGTTTTTCATAGATGGTGCTGTTAAGTTATGCTCTCCGCATAGTCCGTGCACCATATTTTATTCGATTCCGCACACGACCGAGGGAGTCGACACTTTATTTTTACTTCCCGAGCGTAAGCAAAGGAAGTATTGTAATCGAGTCCGTCGGCCGTCCCGGATTTTTATTAGACAGACAATCTCCGAAAGTACTGAACCGATTGTTGTGAAATTTTGTACTTATATTAGGAATATCATGTAACCAAAATTTGTCTAATCATCCCCACCACTAATGCGATGACGTCACTTCAAAATTGTACATTGTAAATGGGTTTTAAATTGTATAAAATAACATAGTCCTACGAATTGAGTTTTTACCCGAAACGTCCAGATTTTGGAAAAAAAATCTAAATTATAAAACAACATTTTACAATTTAATTTTGAATCTGCTAACCCAAATGCTTTGAAATATTGCAGACGTTTTAAGGCTATAAAGAGCATCATAAATCGTTAGTCAAAATATATTTGGTTATCCTCTCCCAAAACTTGATGACGTCAGCTGAAAAGTTTGCCGAATAAATCCTATCTAAAATGTACAAAATATGATGAGCCTGTACTTGTGATCTTTCACTCCATTAATATTTTTTGAATTTGCATATACAGGGTGACTCAAAAAAATTAATGAATACGTAAATTTATTTTACAGATTTACTCAGGAACTACAAAACCGAATGCTTCGAAATCTTGACGATGTTTTAAAATTATAATAAGCATGATAAATTTTTGATCAAAATGCATTTGGTCGTCCCCCCTAAAAAATTTATGACGTCACCACAAAATTTTGCTTAATAAATCCTATCTAAAATGTACAAAATATGACGAGTCTGTACTTGTAATTTATCATTTCATTCATATTATTTGAATTTGCATATACCGGGTGACTCAAAAAAAATAATGAATGCGTAATATCCGTTCGCAAAACTCCCGCACTGTCAGAATGACATTCTGTTGGTATGAGAAATAATCCCCTAAAAGATTTTTAAGTTTATATGATTACCGCCTTGAATTTCAAATTTTCAAAATTAATTAATGAAAAATCAAATGTTTATTAACTATTTTAACTTTTTGATTTGCTGAAGTGTTCAATGTGTTTAAATAACTTGTCAGTAATTCAAACAAATTGTAGCACCAGAAGCGTAGAAATGGACAGTAAGGTCAAAAATATATATTATTCAAAAAAAGCTTTTGTTGTCGTCGTGCGTCATACTCTTTCTTTACTTGAATTGATAAAAATCTTCAGTTAATGTGCTTTTGACATTTTTATTTGACAAGTTATTTTTAGTTACTAATTTGTCACTAGATTTCAATTTTGCAACATATTGTACAGGTTTTTCACATCTCACCACTGAGTACACTCAGGTCATTTTTTCCAAATCTGACACTGACAGTGCGGAAGTTTTGCGAACGGATATTAAATTTATTTTATTGATTTACTCAGGAACTATAAAACCGAATGCTTTGAAATCTACTGCGAAAAAAAAACATAATAGGCATGCAGTCGTCACGTTTCCGAAAGCGAGGGAAGTACTGTCTAAACTCTTTAGGCCAATTTTTTGACATTGTTGTGACATAACTGTAATAGCTAGACATATGGTATCCCGGCAATACTTTCCGCAGCATACGCGATATAAGGATTTTTTTTGGTATTTTTTCACACGTTGGAGTACATTATCGAAGTTTTCATACGGATCCCTAACGTTTTTGAAAATATTATATCGCCTATGTTCATCAGGGATAATGTAGGATTCTAATAGTAAAAGAATTTTTCAAATCGGTCCAGTAGTTTCAGAGCCTATTCAATTCAAACAGACAATCAAATCTTTCCTCTTTATAATATTAGTATAGACTATTAAAAATGTTAGTAAGTTCATTTTTATGCATTCGAAGTTGTAACCAATGTTACGGAATAAAATACACACCTGACTTTGTAAAAAAAAAAAAACTCCAAAATAGTTTGAATGAAATTAATGAAGACATTTTGGGTTTTCCAATTTTTTTTTGTTCAGTTAAAACAATTTTTTGTACTTCATTATGCCTTTTTTTCTTAATGTACATAGTATTCTTTGAACAACACGATACTCAAAAACATGTTTTTAATTTCTTGTAATGAATAAGTATTTTGCAGTTAAGCTCCGCCCCCTTGATTCACGGTGAATAAAAAAAATCATCACAATTGAGATAGGGCGGGTGGGCGGGCTTACATTTTGTCTTTTTGTTTGAATATGTGTAGACTTTTTTTTACAACATGACACTTAAAATATGTTTAAAATGGAAAATTTGTAAAAGGAAATATAGATTTTGCAATTAGTTTCCGCCCCATAATTGCAAAATCAATATTTCCTTGCAAAAGTGTACCATTTTAACCATGTTCTATGTTTCTTGTTGTGAAAAGATGCCTATGTACGAGGGCATTTTTTTTAATTTTCTACCTAACTATGAAGGAAACCGTACAAAGTTTCAAAAAAATTATTTCTCTACCTAACAGGCATCTATACTAATACATTAGACTAGCGTTTCTCCAGCTATTTCATTTCATAAAAAAAATAATTTGTCTGCGCTTCAAAAAACGACGCTACTGCGCTTTTCAGGTCATCATCCAAAGCAAATTTGGGACTCCTGAGGGATTTTTTTCGATGTAGGACTTCAAAAAGAAGTAGCATGATGCTAAATCCAGGCTGTAGGAAGGATGCGGTAATTCTGTGAAGCCACGGTTTGCGATAATGGCGAGCCCTGTGGAACCTGGAATTGTCGTGGAGCACCATCCAACGAGCACACACTTTTTTCATGCCCAAATTTTCGTATATTGTCTAGAACATTACACTTTTCAACACTCCAGCTTCTTTAGCAAGCATTGGAGTTTTCATTCGTCGATCAGACAACAGCAAATCTTCAACAAGTCCTATGGTTTCCTCAGTTCTTGCTTCAACCGGTCTTTCTGATCTTAGGTCGTCCTGAATCGAGTCTCGACCCCATCAAAATTGTTTCGACCAATATTTTACATGAAAACAAGATGAGCCGTTAGTACCGTACACTTGGGTCATTTTTTCATGGAAACTTTCGCACCATTTCCCTCTTTAGTGAGGAACTTTATATCCGCGCGATGCTCCTAAGTTAAGTTCACTAATTTTTCTAAACAAAAAATACTGACAACAATGCCCAATGTTGTGGATCCGTACCAAATTACATCAAAGTACTTACTACACTAGCAGTTATTTGATACCCAAGCCATTTGTTTCTGTGACGTCATTATCATAGCTAGGTAGCTAATATACAAAATTGCCCTCGTATATTAAAAAAAAGACAAAATATAAATATTATACTTTTTTTATATATTTGGTCTTCTTTCCATAACCAAAAACTTGAAACATGGTCAAAATGGTAAATTGTTATAGAGAAATATGAATTTTGCAATTAAGCTCCATGCCGTGGTTCATGGCAAATAAAACAATCATCATAACTAAGATTGGGCGGGTGGGCCGGCTTATATTTTGCTCTTTTAATATATTTCATCTTCTTTTCATACCTAATCAAAAACTTGAAACATGTTCAAAATGGTAAATTGTTATAGAGAAATATGAATTTTGCAATTAACTCTTCCCAGTGGCACATGACAAATAAAAAATTCATCACAACTAAGATAGGGCGGGTGAGCGCGGCCTATATTTTGCTTTTTTTAATATATTTGGTCTTTTTTCCATAACCAAAAACTTGAAATATGTTCAAAATGGTAAATTATTATAGAGAAATAATATATAAACATCGTTTATATTTTTGTTAAATATTTTATGACAATAATTTCTTCAAACAAGTTGACATTTGCCTTTTTTTGATGAAGGCTTGATGTACGATTGGTTGGATGCTTCCAATGCATTGATGTGTATTTTTTAAATCTGAACATAGGGAATAAGCCCAAACTTCGTTTTGCAAGTTAAGAATTAAAAAAATGTCCCGGTATACTTTTCTTTTTTACTGCTTGCATAAACCCAAACACACTAAAACGTTCAACAGAGGAAAAAATAAACGCTTGAACTAAATGATTCGGAGAATCCGATGTAACAAATATATACATTTAAACCTTAAAAAATATTTTTATTTACAACTTAACAAGTCATATTACGTTCTTTACTGGCGTTGCATTCTTTTCATTTTTCTTTCCATTTTTTTCTGTTTCTTTTCATCAACCTCCGTATCTAATGGTACATCTGGGAAGAAATATGGCGATAAAATATTTTTCCATAAAATCCATCCTCCTCTTGCTGGAGCCAATAGCCATAACAACCAAAAATAATTTGAAATAATCGATGACAGTATCTGACAGCCCGCTGTAAGAATTATTATATCCTTCACATGCCTGCAACAACAAAACTGGATCATAAAAATGGTTACAATGTTTAACATTTACTCAGCAATTCCTCCTTCCATGTTAAGATCAACACCACTGTCCAACAGTTGACCAGATTCAGAATATTTGGGCTTCGCCATGTAAACCATAAACTGATATGATCCTATATATACCAAGCAGGAAAATAAGTACAATACCTGAAAGTAACATTTGGAATACAACTACTCAAATTTATGAACTGATACCTTACTATACTTATAGTAGAATTATAAAATACTAAAATAATCAAGGATAACGCATTTGAAATAATCGCCATATTTCTATAAAAATTTAGTGTCGATACATTTTCTTCCACAATCTGTTTGGCTCCTTTTGTACCTTGTTTACCTTTCTGTGGGGGCTAAAATTTTCATATAGAATAGCAAATTTTGTTTTATAATAAAAAGTACACTTACAGCCATGTTTTAAGGTTAGAACTAGAACAGTGCTATTAATGAACCGAATTAAATTTACTTTAATTCATGATCTGGCACAAATTGTGACCACCTAACCTTCCACGTTGTCCGCTGAACCACTCGAATTTTATTATGACATGACAGTTCGCTTAATTCTAATTCGATATTTCTAAACTTCGAAAGCCTGCATCGTGGGAGAGAGAGAGTACTCTACAGCTCCACGTGAAGTAAATAAAGATAACAAACAGCACCTATTTCGAGATCTATAACTTTACTTATGTAAAAATTCGGTCATTTATAGCAGCAATTATGCTAGAAATTTGCAATATTTGTAATGATGGAAACAATTTAATTGTTTGATGTTTAATTGCATATAATAAAATCACATGTTGTTGTTAAGAAAAAATTAATTGTTTCCATCACTACTAGTTTTACTGGTTGCCTATCACATTGTATAACTTCTGTAAACTGGTGCGTGATTGGTGCTTTGTGGCTTAACGTGCTGTGTGCTGTCACCTGTGACCTGTGACTGTCATTGTCAAACATCAGCTGTTAACATTTGTAGTTTTAACTTTTAAGTTTATTTATATTTATTGTTTATGTTTTTACTCAACACCAGTGTAAACATTGCAGTTATTGATACTGTTAATTGTTAACATTTGTCGATGTGTATGTTTGTAAAGATAAGATATTTTTATTAAGTGTATTTTTTTAATACATAAGGTTAGGTGTAAAGTTCAAAATACAAAGTTTAAATAAGTGGTATTTAAGGTACAAATTAGCCATTAAATTAATTTCATCATTTCACTTGTAAATACAAAGGTGTATCAGAAATATGGCTTGCTTTCAACATGTAGGTATACTTCTTTTGATTTTTGGTACTTGTAATTAGATGTTAATATTTTAGTGTCAAAGAACATTACTTCGGCCTGCATATCAGTTCATTTCAAAACTCCAAGTTTGCAATTCTTCATCATCACCCAATGGATACAATTTTGGTAAATAGAACATGCATATCATAGATTGTTATTCTTAACCTTAATTTCAGCCTTAAATGATACGCAAAAGGAATTTCAAGAATTGGCTAGGAAATTTGCGCGTGAAGAAATTATACCTGTTGCTGCAGATTATGACAAGACAGGCAAATATCCATGGGATATTATCAAGAAAGCTTGGTCAATAGGATTGATGAACGGTCATATTCCTCAGGATATTGGTAACAGTGTTAATAAAAGTAATGTGTTGAGATCTCAGTTGCCATTATTTGTAGGTGGGATGGGAAATAGCGTATTTGATGGATGTCTGATAGCTGAAGAGTTAGCATATGGGTGTACTGGTGTTATGACAGCATTAGAAGCAAGTGGTTTAGGAGTAAGTATTAAACCTAATATGACAGATAACTTATGTGTAATAAGTTAACTGCAGATTTTGAATTACAAGTGTTGGATGTAGTAATGATTTTGGCGTGACTTTAAAATCAACTAATGATACTCAGTAAGGTACATAAATTGTTGATAAGATCTCCTGCGTCATTATGTTTTAAGAATTTGATTAGAGATAAATATCCAGCATCATCCAATAGCTCCAACAACAGTATACCAATGTCAAATTCTATTCACAATATTTCATTAAGAGAATTCTGCTTCTATATTGGGGCAATTTCATAAGCTTTTGCAAAAAAAAGCGAGTTTTTTTAACAAGGTTTATTTAATTTTTTTTATTTTTTGTGTCTTAATATCTTTCCACCATTAAAAAATAATAAGCACATTCATTCAAAACATTTTTCAAAATCATAACAATAAATTTCGCCACATGCTGTGACAATTTTGTTAGATTTAAAGTCTATTTAATAAAGAAAATTAAAAATTCACATCCTAATGTGAGTGATAAATTTGATTTTAAGATTTTATTTTTATGTTTTATTACGTAATACAAAATGTATTTCTAAAGGAGGTTGTTTTGGAACTATCATACTAATTTATGGTTACAACCTATAATTACTTAATTGTGTTGCCAACGTATACATACAAGGTTGTGTATGCATAAGTATTTGTTCATGATTGTGACTCAGCCATTTTGAAAGCTTTAGTTTTAACAGGTACACAGTATCGTCATACCGCATACGAAGTTTATATTTTAATTTTAATTTATTTATTTTACGGGATACCCCCTATATACACATAAAGTATTTATCCAATGAGTGCTAAGAAATTATTACATTGAAATATAAATAATATAAATAAGAATTAATTTTTTAAAAAATATGAAAAGAGATTATTAAAAAAATTAAATAGAAACAAAAATACTAATATAATATTAAAACAGCTTTTAGAAGTCTTCAGTTGGCTTTTAAAACGATTTCTTGATGTCCCAAACAATTCCACTTCATCATTATATGTATTTGCCAATCTTTATAAGATGTATTAAAAAAGATTTTTTTTTAAATCCGAAAAGTCCTAAAGTAGATTTTTTTTGGGACACAATAATTTTGACAATAATGTCTACATTTATTATATATTGATTTTTTATTTTTATAAGTTGACTATTTGAAATCATGATTAATTGTTCAGAAACTGTTGGATTTATGGACCTAATTCCTATTGTTCGTGTTCGTAATCGCTTTTTGTTAATATCTTCAGGCACTCTTATCTGAAAATACACCAACCGTGTTAACTGCATCTTAAATTACAAAATATCTTATTTTGTACATAACAAAATATAATCCTTTATAGCAAACTCCTGTACTGATATCAGGGAATAAGGAACAGCAACAAAAATATCTTGGACGATTACTTGAAGAACCATTGGTGGCTGTAAGTTTTGCTTGTGTTTTTACTTTAAAAATAATTTTAAAACAATTGTCTTCTTACTAAAGGCTTATTGCGTAACTGAACCAGGAGCAGGATCTGATGTTGGCGGCATTAGGACAAAAGCTGAGAAAAAAGGAGATGAATACATACTTAATGGACAAAAAATGTGGATAACAAATGGAGGTGTTGCTAATTGGTGAATTATTATAATTTATAGTCTAAACTGAAGTAATTCTTGTTTTTGTAGGTATTTCGTTTTGGCACGTACAAATCCAGATCCTAAATGTCCAGCAGGAAAAGCGTTCACTGGATTTATTGTAGAGAGGGATACACCTGGACTTACTCCTGGAAGAAAGGTTTGTTGTGTACTTAATTTTTTATACAGAGACACTCTAAAATTTGATCATTAGAGTAATTTTATTGAAAGTTATTGTAGCGTTTTAATTACTTACTTTTTTCATTTGTGAATAACCCAGTAAACTACCAAAATACATAAAAGAAATGTAGCTGCAAGATATTCTCGAAATTGAAAGACTTTCTTTAGTTTTCTAGAGTGTTTCTGAATAGAGAATAAGTTATGTCATAAAACTAGGTAACTTTTAATATGAAAGTACTTCTGTTCCAATTAAAAACATGTACAATGAAAAAAAACGTTCAATGAATGTTACAAAATAAAAATCTCTCAGTTGTTTATGATTTAGGTTCTCATTTTGAAGAGAAAAAGAGTTTTTTTGAACATTAAAGAACGTTATTACTATGATAATACAGCTCGTGTATATTACATATTTTTGTTTTTGTCCAGCAATAATCAGTCAGACATCAAAACAAAGTTTCTCACACTGTTTAAAGAAATATTTAAGTTGTATTATCTTCAAAAAAAGTTGTTTTATATCTTGTAAACCAAAAAAGTATTATAAGCAGTTTTACAAAATTCTTAAGCAAGCGTTTTGTGATAAGTCATAATATTCAGGAAATTTGATTGATTTCAGGTAAAACATTATCTATAACTGAGCTTCTGGAAACTAAAAAGTATACATTTTGGTGTTTTGTAGCATTAATTTTTAACTATAATTTTAAATACACTATATCCATTCTTGTGCAAATTACAGGTCACTCACTCCTTCGACAAACGTAAATCATTTAAATATTCTATAAACTGTTTATGAATCGTTTTCTGTGAAATTCAGGAACTTAATATGGGTCAGAGGGCATCCGACACTCGAGGCATAACGTTCGAAGATGTGAGAGTTCCAAAGGAAAATGTTCTTCTTGGTGAAGGCGCTGGTTTCAAGATCGCCATGGCTACCTTTGACAAAACAAGACCGCCTGTGGCAGCAGGTTCGGTTGGTCTCGCACAGCGTTGCTTGGATGAAGCTTCAAAATATGCTAATGAAAGAAAAACCTTTGGAGTGCCAATTTCACAACATCAAGCTATAGCTTTTATTTTAGCCGACATGGCGATAGGTGTGGAGACAGCTCGACTTGCTTGGATGAAATCGGCTTGGCAAGTTGATAGAGGTGAACGGAATAGTTATGCTGCATCGATTGCAAAGTGTTATGCTGCGGATGTAGCAAATAAATGCGCAACAGACGCGGTACAAGTATTTGGAGGTAACGGGTTTAACAGTGAATATCCTGTGGAGAAGCTTATGAGAGATGCGAAGATTTATCAGATCTATGAAGGCACTGCGCAAATCCAGAGAATCATTATTTCCAGAAGTGTTATTGAAAGATCAAAAGAAAAGTTGTAGATTTATGTTTAATAATGAGTTTTGTTGTAGTTTTTAATGATTTGTTAAATCCTGTTTGTGGAGAGATATTTTTTGAGATTTCTACTATGTCTTTGTAGTTACTATTTTGTGTACACAGTACGAACAAACTAGAATTTATTTTTAAGGCCATAATGATATTATAATAATACAAACACTGGCAGCATATATATCTTTGTAACATTTATTGTGTTTTATAAAAATATATCTTACTTCTTTTGTACAAAACAGGTGCATTTTTACGAAAATGTTATATCCCTAGAAACACAGATTTCAGTCATTTGTGTATATTAATGTGTTGATCTTCACCGTACCTACTTAACGTGTTTTACAGTACAATAAGAAAAATTACTTGAATGACAATCTACAGACAATATTTTTTTATTTATTTATTCAGTTAATGGTAGTTTCACATCTTTTGTGTAATATATATGCAATTACATTTTAAATATATGATTATGTTGTTAAATTATATTACCCATGTTCACTTTATTCTGATATATAGTTGGATTTTTTATGACTTTGGATGTATACAAACGTTGCCCTTTATTTCCATCTAAGTTTGAGTAGGTATGGTCATTGTTATGGTAGTGCAGTATAGTCGCCATTCACACAAAATCATATAGGTATCGATTCCACTGAAAAAATTCTATCCAGCTAGAACATCACTTCATTCAGTACCTGTTTTGTGCAAGATTTGAGCTTGAGGATTTACACACAAGGCAAATTAAGGCTTTACTGAATTTTCTTAAAAAGTTAATATACTTTCATATTGTGATATTGTTCGTTCGTCGTCAGCTTATTTTCACCCCTATTTTTTATCTCCCAGCATCTCGTCTTAATAATGAAAAACATTCACCTATTTATGAGACATATCTGTAATCGATACAAACTGCATCATAATCCTTAAACTTTTGAAATTGTTAAACAGTTCTTGTCAGGGCAAATCATTAATTGCTAGCTGTTGACTTAAGTTGGCAATTTATTCGTCGGAAATGCCATTCATCTTAAGAAAGTATAAATGATACAAGTATATAGTATTTTAGTTTTGAAACATACTTACTGTTGTTCAAGTTGATGCTCTAAAGTGAGGAAAAAGAAAGACCACTGAATGAGAAAAGCTAAAGTAAAAGTCCAATAGATCAAAATAATATTTCGGGGTTGTACTATGTAAAAAGAAACAACACCATCAGGACCCACAAATATCTTGCACGAATAATAATGAGCCCGACAGAATTGGAAAAGCAACCCAGAATACATTTCCAAAAGGTTCTTATAGTCCACAAACTCTGACATTATATAGCAGGGTCTTGTGATAAAGTTAAATACCCCGACGGTGAAGCCCCTAGAAATACGTGTTTTCTAGGAGCTATACCCGACGGTATTAGGGTAATATAAACTAGTTGTACACATTACACAAATTCGCAGTTGTAAACGATTAAGTAGTTTTTTAATCCATTTTTAAGAACGCCATTGTCTTAATAACCATTAGATTGTCCGTATGGGGTAATTTTATAAATTAGTTACAGGTGTTAAAGAAGGAATAGAGGGCAGTTTGCATTAGTGATTCGAGAAATCTGTGGATAGCATGAAGGCAGAATGACCTCCATGGTATACTTTGACCAAAACTTTTGTGCAGAATCTGCCTCAAGCGTCTACTGACTTCCGCTAATTTTTATGAGGGGTTAACTAAATACCTTTGTAAACTTGCCGTAGTCGAGATGGCTGAGAGGGGATTTGTCGAGATGGACCGTAATGAAAATTTTATTGCCATCTGTATTACTCAAGACAGAGGTCGGGGTAAGTAGACAAGTTTACAACGGTGAGTAGTTAAGCCCTCATAAAAATAGTGGAAGTCAATAGACGCCTGAGGGAGACTCTGCATAAGAGTTCTGGTCAAAGTGTATATAGCTATTCGCTACCTATCTCTCAACATTCTCTGAAGAATTTTTGTATGTGATCATTTGTGATAACCAAGATAAAAAGTATTAACAAATACTCCTACTTGCTATAATTTTCCGCCCTTGGGAAAATACAAGTACAAAACGCTCAGCAAGACGAAATTATAGTTGATCCCACAATGGAAATAAGTAGAGATGAGGACGAACAAAATGAAGACGTCATTATTAAACAACATTCAGGACAATCATCTAGACATCATCTGACGCACAAGAACTAATTTTCAAACTTATTACAAATTTGAAAAAAAGTGCCTCACTCCACTAAAAGTAGCAAATAAATTGCTTGAGGTTCCTTAACCAAGTGTACAAACTGTAAAAAAAAAGTTTGAAAGAAACACCTGTAAACTACGTATTTCTTTAACTCTGCTCCACGGAAAAAAAGTAAAGGTGTAATATCTGGACTTCTGAGAAACCAAGGATTAACAGACCCTTTCCCTACTCACCTGTTAGGACAGGCCACACTATAGTAATTCCGCACCCTTCTATGATAATGCGTAGAAGCACTATTCTGTTGAAACCATAAATTTTGTCGAATTTTCAAATCGACATTCTCGAGTATAATGGTAAATTAATTTCAATAAAATTCTGATAAGAATTCTCGCTCAAATTGTTGAAAAAAATGGGGAGCAATAATTTGGTTCCAGACGATTCCACATCAAACTTTTGTGAAGTAGACTGTAATATTCTTCTCTGATCCAGTACTGGTTGTCTCGGCCGCAATAATGATAGTTATGCTTGTTAACTCCACCATTATTTGAAAATTTTGCTTCAAAAAAGAACCAAATTCTAAAACTCTTTTATCATGATCTATTTTTGTATTAGTGTTTGATATTGGGATGAATTGTTTTGCCTTTTTAGTGTTCGATGTACCTGTTGCGTTCGAGAAGGACCGCGTGGCTGTTTAATTGCGAACCACTGTTGGGGATACTCAGTGAAGTCCAGACACTGGGAGGAGTATAGTCTAGTCTAGGAGAATCAATTTTTACTGTGACACCTGTTCTGATATGAAATCCTGCTTGGCTAAGCTTAATGAGATGGAAACAACAATTAAACGTTTAGAGGATGAAATTATTAATCTGAAATCGCATGTTTCTGATAAGGCGGAAAAAATTTCTACTAATGATAGTAATAACGAAGGTCTCGTTTATAATTCGATCGTCACGGAGATTTTGGATAGGCAACGTAGAGAGAATAATGTTATTTTTTTCAACATCAAGGAATCTAATAAAACAACATCGCAAGAGCAATCTCAGGACGATTTTGAGATTGTTAAAAATTATTTATCGCAAATATCTACCGACATTGAAACTTCTTCTGTGAAATGTGTACGATTAGGGAAATTTTCCAATTCTAAAAATAGACCGATTAAAGTTGAACTTAAGTGTAATTCAGATGTAATGCTAGTTCTTCGTAATAAAAAAAAGTTAACAGATGAAGTCAACATTCAGAGCGATTCAACACCAATGCAGCGGGATTACCTAAAGAAATTGCGAGAAAAACTGAGTGCAATTCAGGAAAGCGGAGATACTGGCAAAACAATTAGGTTTATAAATAAAGTACCGAAAATTGTTGACGTATCAAAAAACATCCGAAAGGACAAGTAACTCTACAAATTTTTTACCAAAACGTAAGGGGTCTTAGAACCAAAGTAATTGATTTTTACCATGAGACTATTAATCTTAATTATGATGTGATAGTGTTAAGTGAGACGGGTCTTAGTGCTGATATTAAAAGTTCCGAAATTTTTGGGTCAAACTATAATGTATATCGTCATGATAGGGACTCACGTACTAGTAATAAAGTTCGAGGAGGAGGAGTACTCATCGCAGTTCATTCAAGATATCCATCACTCAACATCAAGATGGACAATTCAAGATGTGAGGAAATATTTATCTCCATGTCTGTAGGAAAAAATCAAATTATTTTTGGAGGAGTTTACATTCCACCAACATCCGATGTAAACGTTTATCTTGACCATATTTCTTCCCTTGATAGTGTAAGAGATAGATTTCCTAATTCTATTGTGTGTATTCTAGGCGATTATAATATGCCAAATATAGAATGGGTTCATGGTAATACTAATTCACCTGCGTTAAGACCTATATATAATAATTCTGAACTGTATAACATTGTAGTAGACTCTTTTAATTATCTCGAATTATATCAAGTAAATTACATCCTAAACCATAATAACAATACGTTGGATCTAGCTCTCTCAAATTCTGTAAACTTCAGTGTCCAAAGGGACAGTTATAGTATTGTTCCTGACATGGATCGACATCATCCCCCTTGTAATGCAAAATTAATTGTCCCTTCAGATCTTTGCGAAATCGAATCTCCGCCATTATATAAATTTAATTTTAAAAATGCACCTTACGATTCTATTAATGATTATTTTGGTTCCGTAGACTGGAACGCCCTTCTAAGTACAACGGATGTCGAAAGAAATTTTAATAATTTTTATGACGCGTTAAGCAGCGCTTGCTCTACTTTTATTAGTAAATCTATGATAAAAAATAACAACTTTCCAACCTGGTTTTCTAAAGCTACAAAAATGCTCGTGAAGAAGAAAAATAAAATGTTTGCTAAATTTAGACACACGCATAACGCAGAACACTTTACCAAGTTCAAACATCTTCGTTCTCTTGTAAAAAAATACATTAAAGGTGACTATGCAACATTAATATCAACAACGGAAGAAAACATTAACGTCAACAATAATAATTTTTGGAAATTTGTTAAATCAGTTAATAACTCAGTTTCTGTTCCTAATTTTGTAACCTACAATAATGTAAGCTCTAATGATCCCCAGCAAATCTGTAACTTGTTTGCCGATTTTTTTGAGGAGGTTTATGTACAACATTTCCAAACACCAAGTGATAATACCCGTAATTCGACAACGAATTATTCTGAAATTCTCCAAGTGATTAACAATCTTGAAATAAATTTTGATGCTGTTTTCCAAAAACTTGTATCTTTAAAAAATAATTTCAATCCGGGACCTGATGGAATACCAGCTTACTTTTTGAAAATGTGTAGCCCATCTCTTACTCTACCTATAACAATCCTTTTTAAGCAATCATTAAGGTCGGGTTTGTGCCCAGTCCGTTGGAAGTCATCGTTTATCATACCAATTCACAAATCGGGATCAAAAACAGATGTTAAAAATTATCGTCCAGTTTGTATTATTTCAACATTATGTAAGGTTCTTGAATCCTTTATAGCTGATAAACTTCTCGATACTTATTATAATATCCTTTCTACTAAACAACATGGTTTTATGCCTAAGCGCAGTACACTGACAAATCTCTCAATTTATAGTAATTATATCTCAAACTCATTAGAAAGAGGTTACCAGGTGGACTCCATTTATACGAATTTTAGTAAGGCCTTCGATCGCGTTGATATAAATCTTTTGTTAATCAAACTTAAGCATTATGGTATTATAGGTAATTTACTTTCATGGCTTTCCTCTTACTTAAATGGCAGAACGCAGACCGTTCGTATCAGTGGACTGTTCTCTCATGAAATAAAAGCAACATCCGGTGTTCCTCAAGGTAGCCACTTGGGCCCTATTCTTTTTCTTCTTTTTGTTAATGACATAACTCACATTTTTAAGTATTGCCAATTCTTACTCTTTGCAGACGATCTGAAACTCTACATGGAAGTTCGCTCGGAGCTAGATGTTCTTAAAATTCAATCTGACTTAGATTCGTTTTCAAATTGGTGTGATATGAACAACTTACTGATTAATTATGATAAATGTAAAATTATTACGTTCCATAAATGCAAGAATCCGATAAGCGCCCGATACTGT